ACAAGAGAGTAACAAACATAAAAAAGAAGAAGGGGAGATAAGGACGATAGATGTTTGATAGGAAAGAAGAAGCAGCAGAAGCAAACCACACCAGAGCACCCGCCAACCGCCCACAGTAAGAGTTTAACTGCACTTGAAACACAATAAGGTCATATAAGTGCCGAAGATTAGAGGTGTTACAAGAGAGTAACAAACATAAAAAAAGGAGGAGAGATCAGAATGAGAGATGTTTGATAGAAAAGAAGTACTAAATCACACTACTAGGCTATTTAAGAGACTGGGCCTTCAAATTTGACGTCCGCCTCCCATAGGACTGAGCCAAATGGATTGACAGCCTCGAAATCTCCACAAAACGATCAAAGTTCAAGAGCCCCCTTTCTGGGATTCGAACCAGGGCCGTCCACTCAGTAATCCAACTAAGCTAACAGAGTGCAGATTCATCCGCTGTCCAAATCAAACACTAACACACAAACACATTGTCCAAACCAAACACTAACACACAACCACATTGTCCAAACCAAACACAAATTTCTAATGTCCCAAGTTGTGTCGTCTCAGTCTTGATGTCTTAACTGATTCCGTCCTTTTGGCCACTGAGACTGACAGCAGATCTGGGTTTTTCCACTGTCTCCATTCGGCCGTTGACACTGACAGCAGATCTGGGTTTTTCCACTGTCTCCATTCGGCCGCTGACACTGACAGCAGATCTGGGTTTTTCCACTGTCTCCATTCGGCCGCTGTGAGCGGCTCGACGAAATTCGAGTGAAATCCGAAACGAAGGCGCACTTTTTAACATAGTTCTTAAGTTGTCTAAAGGAAGTAGAACTTGTAAACAAGCCTGACCTCAATCTCTGAGCCCCAAAATCAATCGAAACTCCGCGAAATCCTTGCAAAAATCATTGTTTTGTGGTCGCTAAGTAAGGATAAACAACATGGAGCCTGGTATAATAAAAAGGCCCTTCAGTGAAAAATATTCAACTAAATTTGGGAAATTCTTGCAGAAATGTGTGCTACGGTGTTCCCTCTGCACGTTTGTGTTGATTCTTCTATTATGGATTATAAGGACTTGTAGAGCTGAGAAAATGAGGTAAATAGAAATTTTCGAAGAGGTGTTGCACAATTATTTTTCTCTTCATTTCTGTCTGAGGGAAAATACAATACAATGAGAATATAGGTCATTGTCATTGATATAAACAGATTCCTCTGCTTATCCCCATCAGTTTGGTATATGACAATACATCTCCTATATTACAGTAACTTAGAGCTTCACAGTAATGCATTAAATAGATGCACCCCAGGTGAAAAATTGAACAGGGAAAAATAACTCTGTCCAGAGCCTGAAAAAATCATGGCTGGAATCACCCAAATGTCTCAGTCATGATGTCTAATTCATACAGCATAATAATAATAAAAAGCATTTGTATAGCGCATATCCCCGCTCAACAGCAGGCTCTATGCGCTTTACACTATATTATTACCCCAGCAGACCATAGAACACTCCGAAACATTCTCAGCTTCCCGGGAAGCATACAGTGCAAGCAGCTGATTAAGCGCTCAAACACTAACAAACTGACAAGATCTTTCGCTGTCTATAGCCGGGTACCCATTCCCACCTGGGTGAAGTGAGGAAAATTTGCGTAAAGTGCCTTTCCCAAGGACACAACGTCGGGCCCCTGACGGGATTCGAACGAGCGACCTTACAGTTGCGAGTCCGAGAGCCTAACCACTAGGCCACCGACGCCACAAGTCTGTCTTATAATGCGTAAGTCATGATGTCTAATCTGTGAAGCCAAAGTCATCTCTCAGCTTCAAAGTCAAAGTCAAAGTGTCTACTCCATGGTGTTCAAACTGCATGGTCTGTCCTTTCACCAAGTAAAGTCCCTACAAGCAGTTTTCTTGGCCCAAATGAATTTTGGAGCTTTCTAACCACGGAAAGATCACCTGTAAAATTCTTCTCAGTCTCTTTCTTCTTGTTTGTTTTTGTAAAGTGTTTTCCGGCGCTCGCAACTGCATAGGTCATATGAGCGCGCGGGACACACCTAATATTTTCAGTTGGTAGGAGATTTTGAATTTTGCCCGGGTGGCGGCCGAAGCCTACTCTTATCGATTTTAGACAACCAAGGGATCTTTAACGTGCGCAACTTGCACACTGGCCCTCCGAGATTTTTCGCCCTTGTCCGAGAAGGCTAGGTGTAGATCTTTCCTACCAGAAGATCAGGGGTGTGGCAGAAAGACAGCAGTAATGAGGAGCCAAGGAGTAGCAGTAGAAAGGCTGCAGAAAGAGTCAGGAGCCCAGAGGAGGGGGCAAAGGAGGCGAAGGGGTGGGGGCAGAAAGTGGAAATGAAAACAGACAACAGAACATTGTTAGAGAGCAGGAAAGGAGGTGAAAGAAGACAATTTTAGAGAAGAACATTTTTTTGGTCGCTACCCCGAATTCGAACCCAGGACCTTTGAATGAGAGGCCAACACCTTAACCTCTAGGCCACGAGAGCCCCCGCTCTTTCTTCTGCTAATAGGTTTCTCAGTTTCAGTTTTAGAACAAGTTTTATGGCAGTTGCAACACAATTAGGTCACATAAGGGCTGGAGATAAGAGGTGTTACTAGAGAGTAAAATACAAAGAAAAGAAGGAGAGATGAGGAGGATAACCATTTTTTAAATAAGAAAGGAGCAAACACACTAGAGCACCCATCAATCACCCACACAAACTTCTTCTCTCTGAAAATCTGTCACTCTATGTCTCCACAGACAACATGCACAACCACTCTCTCTTGTAACTCTCCTTTGTACCACCACCCCGCCTCGTTACCGATCTAGATCTATCTCCCATTAAGCATGTCTTTGTGGAGGTGCTCTCAGTATCATCTGAAGGAAAATCTGGCTCTGTCTCACTAGCATAGATGTCATCAAATGAAGCATTTCTTCTATGATGTATTCCTCATGACGGTCAAGCCACCATTTACTTTACTTAACCCTATCCGTACGCCCTGGGGTCATTTTGTACCCCCGGGGTTGTATTCTTCACATTTTAAAATAATTCTAGTACTAAGATTTCTTTGAAACTTTCAGTATTTCTAAAAAAAATCATTTTGACAGACTGCTATGCAAAGCCTACGGATCGGATTAACGAGGAAATTTCCTCTTTGGAGAGTGGAGGCACAGAGTTCCCCATGTCGTATGGATACGATAGTAAAACGCGACGTACTGATAGGGTTAAGTGGAGGCACAGAGTTCCCCATGTCGTATGGATACGATAGTAAAACGCGACGTACTGATAGGGTTAGAGTAAGGAAAAGTTTCAAATGTAACGGTTGTGTTTGAAGGTGTCACTCCAAATGGGGAATCCCTGTGCGTGGGCACACATGTGTAAGTCCAGGTGTTCAACCCAAGACATGTGGGCGATTGGTGGGTGCTCTGGTGTGGTTTGCTCCGTCTTTCCTATAAAACATTTATCATCCTTATCTCTCCTCCTCCCTTTTTGTGTATGTTACTCTCTTGTGACACATCTATTTTTCGGCACTTATATGACCTCATTATGCTGAAAGTGCCGTAAAACTCTTACTAAAACTAAAACCTCGACATTTCCACCACAACTCACTTGAGCCTGCTGGCATATGTGTCCACACATCCCTTCATCTTCTCCAGCAGCTTCTCAATGGAGGACTGTGGGTCCGACGAGCTGCCCCCCGCGCAGCCTGCCTCCTCCATGGGCAGCAGGATTGGCACGAGGCACGGGGTGAGGGCGATGCCGCGCAGCAGCTGTAGCAAGGCTCGGTAGAGCGGCACGTGGCGCGCCATATCCAGCACCGAGTCGTTGCGCAGGTAGGAGGAGAGGGCGGGGACCAGGCACGACTGCGACAGGAGCTCCCGCAGCGACGACGGGATCACCGACTTGACCTCTGAACCCGACTGGGAGGAGGAGGCCCCGAGGCTGACCGGAGAGGAGGCCGTGCTGCGCGCATCCTGGTCTTCGTTTTCTTCCTCCTCCTCGTCCTCCGACGGCGTTATACATCCCGGCTTGAGGCTGGTGCCCAGGTTGGGGTTCACGTAGCTGGCCAGCACCTGACACAGACAAGGAAGGGGAAAAAATCTTAGTGTTCCTGTTTTGTTTTTCAGTTGTTTTTTGTTCTTTTTAAAGTACAGAGAAGCACATCGACAATATATGTGTCCTGACCTGGAGGAATCCGCACAGGAAGTCATTGGGGTTTTCTGAAAACCTGTCCATACCTCTTGCTTTTGATGAAAAGTATATCCATTTATCTTGGATACACACACACACACAACACCCCCCACCCCCTTCCCCTCCTTCCCACCTGTAG